TTAGAAAACAGTTGTTCCTCAACTCTTACACCAGTAACTACCCGGGATTTTACTAAGATCCTGGCCAGACTTCCTTTCCAGGACATGGGACACATCAAGCTGTGGTAACAATCCTTCAGGCCTACCCACGCAAGCCCAGGAAAATGCACTTGCTCCACAGAGCACTGTATGCACCAGGGCAAAATATTCCTTCTACTCCCAGCGACTAACAGCCCCAGAGGCTGCCTTTTAAAAAATCACCAATGTCCTAGCTTTAAATATTGATTAAAAAGAAATATTTACAAGAAGAGTCATCAAGTTTATCAATATGACTGGGTCTTTAAAAAAAAAAAAAAGTCTCAGCCCAATTTACTTAAGAGAAAATAAGCCAAAACAAACAACCACACACACCAACACTTCCTGCTCTGCCTCTATTATCATCTTGTTCGGTTTGGGAGGATTCTGCTGTTAGATTGTGTATTTGTGTTCAGCCCAGTAACATAGGAACTATGCCAATACTGGAGTTCATCAGCACAGCTGTCTCCAAGTTCAAGTGTGAAGACTCCATCAGAACCCTGCGGCTACTGCAAATTGTTAATATTGTGATTTCTGCAGAGATTCTCCTGCAGAGGCAGAAACAGAGGCCCGGGCCTACTGCGTTGTACTTCCCAGTTCTATTGCTTCTCCTTCCCAGTTCCTATAACAGTGATTGGAATCAACATGGTTTTGAGTTGTCAATCACATATCGCCACCACCACAGTCCTGCACCCAATTTCCACAAACTCCAAGGGCTTCATGTGAACATGGCAGTTCCTCAGAAGGAGGCTCTTCCACATCCTTAGCTAACCAAATACAATTATAATTATTGCATTAGTCGACAGGGATGAAACCACGTTTTAAAAAAGAATTAAATCCATTTTTAACCAACAGACTTTTATTCAAACACTTAAAAAAAATGTCTGCTGTCTTAGGCAAGTAACGACAACAACTTCCCAGGGTTATTTGAAAATTAGCAAGCTGAGCCTGTAAAATTCCTACCTCAGTGCTCCCTAAAGTCACACTGGACATTTGTTTTATGCTTGGTACTAGATTGTAAATTTTACATAAACTATCTCATTTAATTCTCACAGCAACTTCATGAGATCACTAATATTTATTCCTATTTTATTCACACTCAGATAAAACCTAGGTGGGATCAGAAAGTGTGCAAATGGCTGAGCTTTGCACTGTAAGTATATTTCACGAGTGGCATTTAATACGGGATCTTTGACTGGCTCCTGGCTGAAATAACCAGTTATAAAAGACATTTTTCAGACAATTGAGACTAAGTGTTAAAGACATCAGGGAATTATTCTTAATTTTGTTAAGTGTGCTGATGGTATTGTGGTTTCACCCAAGAGTATTCTCACCTTTTTGGGAAGTAAGCTCAAGTATTTAATTATTTTTAAATATACTTTTTATTGTTGATAGTATTCAAGTATTTATTTTTATTTTTTTGTTAATCTTCACCCAAGGATATTTTTCCACTGATTTTTAGAGAGAGTGGAAAGGAGGGGGAGAGACAGAGAGAGAGAGGGAAACATTGATGTGCGATTGGTTGCCTCCCACATAACACCCTGACCAGGGCTGGGGATCAAGCCCCCAACTGAGACACACACGTGCCCTTGATCAGAATCGAACCCAGGACCTTTCAGTGTGTGGGCCGATGCTCTAAGTAACCACTGAGCCAAACTGACTAGGGCTAAGCTCAAGTATTTAAATATGAGTTCTGATGTCTAATTTTGAAATGGTTCCACAAAAATAATTAAAAGCTTTTTTTTTTTTAATGAGAAACCTTTCAACATTAGGAGTATGACTGCAGGCAAAGCTGCAAATCCATTCTCTCAGCAAGATGTATGTTCAGAAGAGGAACAGAATAAAAAAGCTGAATGAAGACCTGATGTCTCCGAGGTTACAGCTCACTTGAGAAGATTTCTTCATTTTTTGTCTGCGAATTTCCAAACCACATAGAGCCATAATCAAATGCTTTAAAGATATGGTATGACTTAAAAAAAATTTTCTACTCCTATGTATAAAAGACCACTTTCCATATTTTGTTGATGGTCTTTAATTTTTAAATTATAAAAAAAAATGTGTAGAATTGTTAATCTTAACATGCATTTCTAATTGGGAGTGGGATCAAAGAAGAGTCAATGTAGTTTTTATATAAAAGCTAATTTTTAGGACCATCAGTGAATAGAACAGACAAGCTTTCCTGAATTACTAAATATTTATCAGAGAGGAGCTTCAAATTGACATGGAAGAGAACATTAGGAGACAAAACATTTATTTTTTAATTAAGCATGATTTTACCAGTTATTAAGATTCTGATTTATTATATTCTGATGTGAAATATACCAGACATTTAAGAAAAATATGTGGACTATCAAGAAAATCTATTTTACCTAAGGCACAAATACAACTCCCCAGGTCTCCAGTTCATTGTCGCCAATTCTTTATAAGTAACAAAACTTGCCTATTTCCAAAAGTATCTGCGGGACCTCAAACACGAAATCATTAGAAGGGGAAATAGAAGATCAAAATTAATAGAGGAGTAAATAAGTCTAGCAAGAAACCTAGGCCAATATGGCTACCCTGATCAAGCAATAATTTTGGCTCTGAGCTTCCAGACAGTAGTAGCAAAAAGAAAAGGCAATCACAGCAAGCCCTGTAACTCAAACAGAAACCTTCTTCCTGGTACTAATATTTAAAAGAAAATTTTCAGATGGGTCATTACATAATATGGAACAATATAGTAGAGTGTCCACAAATGCCAGTTTATAGCACATGCAGCCTGCTCTCTGACCGGGCATTCCATGTCTCATGCCAAGGTCATTACATTAAAAGTAATCCTGACAAAGCTGTGCAGTGGGCTGAAGGGCTTTCTGATTTTCTGAAACCAGAACGTGTCCTCAAATAGCCATGGTCTCAACTGGGCTTCTGACAGCAGTGGGGGCTGCCAGTTCTCCATGTTGAACTGCTCTGAAAGCCTGGAATAGAGATATGTATTTCTTGCTGGTGCTCCCACTCGAAGTCCTTTTGCTGCTGTGGATACCAGATAAGATGCTGCCGTGAAAAGGGAGAGGCCAGGCCGGGATTCACAAGGGGATGGAGCCAAGGAACCCAACCTAGGGTGGTTGAATCGGTCTTTGGGAAATTCTGAAGCCCAGAGCATGGCTACCATTGCTGTTTGTGCGTGCAGGGACAAAGGAGGAGCCACACAAATACCTATTACTAACCAAGTCCTGAAGGGGTTAAGACCCAGCAGCATGTAACTCCCCTCCATTATTTCAGCCTAGAAACACAACTTTTTTTTTTTCATTCCCATTTCAAGATAGTCTACGAAGGCCCAGCAAAATGTCTAAAACAGAAGGGCCAGCAGATGTAGTGGGTTGGCCACAACATATACACCAGGCGGGATCCTCTCCAGCTATGGGTGCCCGGCAGACTAGGGGTTACTGCAATCAACGCTCCCCGGGGACCCATAGGAAAGGAAATTCCCTTTCCCCAACACTAGCCCTCCCAACACCCCTCCCTCCTAGCCTGGCAAGAGCAGACGCCCAAGGATAAAGGGGCATTAAAAATAGGAGTAGATTCTTAGAGTAGAGCACAGCATTCTGTCACCTGCTGCAAGAGAAGCCTTCTCGCCCAAGCCCTGAGTCACTTCCCCTCTCTGCACCGAGTCTCAATGCTCAAGGAGGCAAAAGACCGGGGCTCCAGGAGCTGTCTACCCGCAGGCCCCACGCCCCCAGAGACACTCCCGGGGCCTCCCTCTAGGGGTAGTTTCCGCGGCTTCGAACAGGGTCTTTGCGCCGAAGCCGGCGCCGCCACTACCTTGGCTAAATGGCAGGCAGCTCTGAATGAAAGGAGCCGAGGCAGGCTCCGGATTTATGAATGTGCAGGGGAGGAGGGGAGGGCTATCATGTGACAATAAAGGAGAACGTCTAATTCACAAAAAAAAAGGGAAAAAATAAAAGAAGAAAAAAAGTGGCTGGTGGCGGGCACAGCCGCTGAGTAGTGGCGGCCGCTGTGAGGTGACCGCTCGGACCCGAGGCAGACGACCTCAGGCGCCGGGCCCAGCGGCCTAGCCTGCGTTGCACCCGCAACTGGAACGGCCTCCGGCGGGGCTGGGGAAGAATCAAAGCCGACTCTGCGACCGAGAGGCTGCAGGGAGCTGCACCTTGGCCAGGGCCTGGAGAACTGCATGCGTCCCCGGGGGGCGACGGGTCTGGCAGGGAGCCCCGAGGGCGGAGCGCCCGGAGCATTGTTACCCTCGGACTCGCGGGGCCCGGCACGCACTCGGG